ATCATCGACAGGGGTTCGGCCATTTTTAAAACGTGAATGCCACACAAAAGTTTGTGCACGACCCATTGCGGACTCCCCAAATGCTTGCTTTAGCATTTCATAGGTTTCCGTAGCCGTTTTGGCGAGTCTTTGGCAAAATTTGATGCACACACCATTCCGAAATCGCAGGAGGGTCGGTGTAATGCACTACCAAAACGCCCGTAACTAAGAAACAAATGCTAATTCGATGATGCCGGCTGGCACACCTATTCACTATGAATGTAGGCCGCACCCCCTAGCGGCAGAAGCTCGTACTACATCCGGTTCGCCCTCTATTGACACAGTTTGTAAATTTTCTGATCGCACCTCGTATCATAGGTCCCCATTCTTATGAAGGATAAGACAACTTCCTGGCCCATGAAAAGAGCTGACCCCTCATTCTGTCATTATTGACCATTGAAAGGAAAGAAGTGGCTGTTGTGACCAAGCCTGATATCTTACAGGAGCTCCTTAAATTTTTAAACTTGACACTACGTCAAAAGTTGATCAACTCATGCACCAAGTGCCTTTACTCTGGTGAATGAGCTCCTGGTACCCTTTTCAGTACAAAGTTGGGTGGGCACCTCAGCAGTGGTGAAGGGGGTGAGCAAACTGATTGATGGTCCAGGTCCTAGCACATGGATGGGCCTCACACCTACACTCCTAAGTATTAAAATTGCCTTTTCTCCTTAAATTGTTGCCATACTTTTCCTTTTACAGTGATTAACCTTCAGATTCCATAAAATCAGAATTTCTTGTCTAGCCGAATAATTGTGAATTGCCCTAGAAAAAACCAGTGAATGGATAGCTGAGGAGAGGATATACAAGTTTTGATTTTGGAGGGACTTCCATCATTCATTCAGTATGCTCTGAGCAGCAGTGATGGCACAGACAATTGTGAGACCCTAGGCAAGATTGACTAATGAAGGTCCTTAAGAAAAAATAACATGGAAGGCATTTTAGGTGATTTAAATTATTATGATTTTAATGATTTGAATACTACCTCTCTGGCACTGACTCGCCAAATTCAGCCACATCTTCCTTTTCTCAGCTGTAAATCCTGATGTGGGTAATTATTGTCTTAATGACACATTTGACCAAGGTCAGAAAGTTGGGTTAGGCCATAATTGTAATTAGAAATGTTTATGCTTTTATAGTAACTTAAGAAGCGCTTCATTGGAAAGCTGCATGCCCACAAGTATTGAACATTATGAATCTGCAGTCTGAGTCTTAATTCCTTCTTCATTGTTGTCAGTCTCAGATAGAAGTGCGTGTTCATAAAAGCTTGCTTTGGTCCAGTTTACATATTCTCAAAGAACTTCAGAATATTTATTTTAAAAATTTCCTCTAATGTATATGTAAATGTCTAGTGGTCAGATGCTGGCCTTGTAATCCTGGGGTCCCGGGTTCGATTCCCGGTTGTGCCCGGATTTACAACTTGTGTTGGGCAAGGCCGTGGTCCAGGTATCACAATTTTCCTCCGGGGCTTTCCCGGTTTCTCCGTGGCATCCCAACAATTACTCCATTTTCATCATCATTTACGCACAGAAGAAGGCAATGGCAAACCACTTCTGGATCATATGATGAGGAAACATATGAACAGGTCCCTGTCAGAGGGAACTTGTTCATAATGTCACCAGGGGTTGGCTCCGACCCGATGGTACAAAAAAAATGTAAATGTCTTAAGTAGTCTCTCCTTTTGAGGCGATTTCATCAAACTATTGTCTTTATTTCTCACTTTCTCCAATACATAATTTACTTTTTTTATTTAATCATATCTAATAGTGTTATTAGAAGTGGACAAAATTGGGAAGGTCCTCATGTTTATAAAACCTTTGTTCCTGTACCTAACAAATTTGTAACAAACTTAATCACTGTTTATGTATTATAAATTGACACTCTACACCAAAATTTATTTGAAAAATTCAAACAGTTTATGATGAAACATCATCAGACAACACTAAAAAGGTTTCACGTTAAATTACAATAATGTCACTACCATTTTGTCTTTGTCTCCATAGACACATACAAGGTACTGACGTAGAATGGCTTTCAAAGGCAAGAATGTAATATCAATTTTTATAAGAACTTGTCAGTTATAAAATGCATTCCATGCAGCGAGACAGTCTGCCAATTATTTTATAAAATGAAGAAACTAAACTAGTTATAACAATGAATCCAAATTCAAAATAATGTTCAATATACTTTATTAACACAAATTAAATAAGCAGAAATGAATATTAACTTATCCTTTGTAACACTCACTGAATCTGGTCTCTGAATTCAATACAAATCACTTCAGCACATTTGACACTTTTCTCCTTTAAACAAAACACATAACTAAGTGATTATTTGTATCTTGCAAATCTATCACTGGGAGTCACTTGAGGAGCTGCTGCTGGAGTCTGTTGACATCACTTCTACATCCTCTGTAGTGTGATTCCTGGTATCCATAGAAACACTCCCTTGTCCCCCAACTGTCATGTGGATTTCACCGGATGGATGCCATGCAAATTGGTTCTGCTGGGATGCAGGAAGCTCTGAAAGAATCATCACTACTTTGTAAGATTTCTGGTTCTCATGGCAGTGAGTAAGAAGATGGCTGCATTCTTGGTTGTTGTGCTACGTAGTCTCATAGAAGTTTGTCAGATTATATGGTACAAGAACCCATCACCATTTTGTTTCAAATAAGGGGAAAAAAACAGTTTGAAGAAAGAATTAACACATTTTTAGTTATATATTACAGCATGTTTATGGAGAAGGGGCAATGACCTAACAAAAGTTACAGCGTAGGTTAAGCAATTTCAAGAAACAAGGGAAGATATAGATGTTGGTCAATTTCTATAAGACTATACAGTGCAACATCTGAGAAGTCATCTCCATTCTGTATAGTAAGTAGCACAATCCACTATATAGTAGTCCTTATTTCAGAAACAAATTCCTTCACCACTGTTCTTACGGAATAGGCCACGAAGGTCAATAAGACCATGACTGAATGCATCAGCCGCAACAAAATATTCTGACTGTTGTTGAGTGTTAAGACCTAAAAAACTGACCTGATCCAGGTGGATGGCCCGTCCTGTGTAGATCAGAGAGACTGTTCTGTTGCTGCAAAAGATGACCATTTATTGGGAGATCACTCAAACGACCAAGGCATCCCAGACGCATCTCAATATCTAGAATACAAAGATATTATCATCATAGTAAGATCCTGTCTGTTTCTTAGTTTCACAGTATTTCTCAAAAAATATTATGTACTGCAGAATAAAAAATGGCAAGAACAACATTTGAGAGGAGGGATTGAAGAAAATTACTAATAACACAGAAAATACATTCAGTGCTTTGGCACACATCTCAAATGAATATAAACCACACATTATCTGATTAGTGGCATTTCACTGGCTTTCATGTATTCAGCTGTCAACTTCTAGCCTGTCTTGGAGTCTTCAATAGTGAATGATACCTGTAGGATATGGTCGCCTAGGATCACCTTGTTGCCATGTCAGTGGAGCGCACACAGCATTAGATGCACTAATTCTATGAGCAAACTTGATTAAGTCTTCTGAAGGTACTGGTCGCTTGTTGGCTCTTGCGATGGATTGAAGTTTTTGTTTAGCTTGATAGATAGCAGTTGCCTACAAGCAAAAATAACAATTGTCTTAAATTTTGTGAACTTGAATTTCTAATGCACTGAATGATATGATACCAGTAACAGTATAATCATATGATTATCTGTGTATCTGTTTTACACACACAATAAATGCTCAGGCATCAGCAAGTTAAAAATAAGAATATGCATATTAAGCATAAAATGTCTCTGAGTATCTTTTGTTTTAGTGTGTTGATACAGTAAATTCTTGTTGAACATATGTTTGTCCATTGCAAATTTACTTGTACATGCAGAAACAAATGGCATTAGTCAATCTCTGGTCACTCAGATTATCATCATGTGAGGGCTGAAACATGGTATAGTATTCACTTACAAGGATTTGTTCTGCTTCTTTCAATTGCCGCTGCAGCTGCTGAATGTACTGGTCTTGTCTTTCAACTTCCCCTTTCAAAGCTTCCATCTTGTGGTTAATTTTGGCTTGTTCTCTTGCCAATTTAAGAGCCTCTTTCAGTTCACTATCCTTGGCCACCAATAACTCAGTAATTAATAAATGCTCAGAGCTTGATAGTTTCTGATGTTTTTGTGCAATGGTGTTCTCAATTAATTCCCTATATCAGAAAATGATTCATATATTCATAATACCAAAAAGTTACTTTATCCCACCATATTATTGGGAATTTAAAGTCAAGAGCAACATAACCAGTGCAGTAATTAAACTGCAAGAACTTCTGAGTACAGTAATCACATTCGTATGTGATAACAAGCAAGCACGATTGTATATCTCATTGAGCCTTTAACTAACTTCAATATCAAACCTGAAAACTCATTTATATGGTCCCAAAGATTAAATTCTGTTTTCTCTGAACAATGAAAACAATAATTCTATTACTGTTACTGAGATTGTGTATCTAAATATATATAAATTCATTTTAGTTGCCATAAACACGTTTATTAAAATAATGTAAATAGACTAGAACAGAATTTATTTACATTCCACAGATCCTTCATCAGCTCAAGCCAAGAGTGCTGAACATGTCATAGCACAAATACAAAACTTTTTTATAATATAAATAGAAGTTACATAGTTATGACAGTAATTTAGTCAACTACAGTATTTCTGCAAAAATTATAACACAAGTCCTTTTAAATATTTACTGAGGTTAGTGTTTGGCACATAAAGGTTATATCTGTATCTTGTACTTATATTGTAGATATTTGGGTTTCTTTAAAATTCTTCTATGTTGTCAACTACAAGTGCTAATGAGAGCATGCTGGCTAGTGGAAGAATATTAAATTTCTTAGACAATTCCCTATATGAGGCCCTCTTTTTAGTGCTTGCCATTATTCTAATTAATTTCTATTGAATATAAACTCTGAGAAATGACGAGATTAATTAAGTAAGTGACTCATAATTACGTACTTTGAAATTAATTCTATATCATCAATTAATGCTAGCAGCTTTTCACCAGTGCTCACACCATTTGACGCCATGACTTTTTTTCGCTCCAACATATCCTCAATTACAAACATCGCGCTCTGACAACATACGCACTCGAATTTCTCTCCCAGCTGATCTTTCTTGGCTAAAAGTTTATATCACTGTTATAACAATGTATTTATATTTGTACTAGAAACAAGTATTGCATTTGTGCTATGACATGTCCTACATCCTTGGCTTAGGCCTATGAAGGACCTATTGAATGTAAATAAATTCTATTCTATGCTTTTCAACTCCGTATAAGATCAGCGTGTCAAGTAAGATTTATAGCATAATACGCTTCAGTTAAATAAAAAATATATTTCCAATTGAATTAGCCTTTTCAGTGGTCTCCTACATGCTCTAAATAAAGGAGTGTATTACTGTTCTAGTTGATCTTTTCTCTCTCAACCCATTGTAGGCATTTCTTTCCGTTGTGGTTCTTGCTACGAAAGAAAATGACCAATTACATATTAGTTTTACTTTTCTGAGAATTTGCTTACAAATACAGATTATTTGGGCGGAAATATTTATGTTACATCAGCTACACTACATAGATATATCGTATTGTATTACTGTGACGGCGTAATGGCATTGTAAAATTGTGTGATAATCGGAACGTGGCTCATGATTGTACTGGTAGGGAAGGTAACAGTTGTTATGTTGGTCGATTGACTACATTTATCAATTTTGAATTCGTTGGATTTGAGTCATTTGTTTAATAGGAACTGTCAGCTGTGTCTTCTGTTATTGGTACACTTTATTGGGATATATGTATTTAATATTTACGTGAAATGAGCGATGAAAACATTCGGAGGGGCGTAGTTAATAGTTTTCGTAAAGCTATTGATTGTGAGCAACAGAATAACGATGTGGTGAGTTTTAAGTGTAAGAACATCTGTTTAAAGTAAAGTTACATAATCTTCTTAACAATCCGTAAGTTAAAATGTAATGACTGTTTACTTGGTTGAAATGCTAGTTTGATTTAATGCCAGTCTATATTTTAGGAGGCATATCGGAATTATTTAGAAGGACTTGCGCTTGTAGCTGCAGCCCTTCAGCAAGATGCAGAGAGTAGTTGGTCCCTTGGAAATCCAACCCTTACTCCCAAGGAACGAAAGAGTCTTATTGGGTTTGCAAGGCAAAGTGTTGACCGTCTCGTACTACTTCTTGATAAACAGGGTATGACTATAATTTGCAAGTAATAATGAACATTTATTTAGGAAAGAGGACATATTACAGTGACAAGATATTTGAGAGAATTGAACATGCATGTACCCATATCTTTGATGTGTTACAATGGATACTAGGTTTTATTTTACACTTCATTTCATTTCATACCATTCTTTGTTCTGGGTGTATATGTTAGTCCTTTATATTTTGTCCAGTAACTGTGTTTTATATTTGTATTCTTCACATAAATCTTTAGTAGACTTGTATACTGCTTTCCCAACCTTGTTTTATGTTTTGTGTATCGTATGTGCCCTTCATACTATGAAGGAAATAAATTCCAATTGTGTTAGGTACATTGAAACTGTTAGGGGTATTTTTTTCAGTAAATATCACCTTTTCTTTGGGCTTGAGAAATATTCTAGTAAAGACTGATGTATCTCTTTTAAAGAATCAATCTGGTTATTTAATTGTCAGACTTCGTATATAGTTGAATCAGATGGGGGATATGCTCATGGATCTTGTGTAAGGATTTGGAGGTTGATGGTTGTATGGTACTATCAGAGTATTTGCCTGAAGAGATTGAGGCAAAGAATGAAGAATTTCAATCATGATAATGTGACTCAGCTGAAATTTGAACCAGTTACCCACAAAGTTCAAGTCTGTAGTATTAGTAACAACAATTTGTATTGTGATAAGGTTATGTAGGAAGTCTGGATGTTCAAAACTGCTAAGGTATTACTTGTGGGCTCTTGTGAACACAGTAATGAACCTTCAGGTTTCATAAAAGCAGGGAATGTCATTGTTAGCTAAGCATACGGTAACTTCTCAAGAAGGACTATGCTTCATGGAGTTGGAAGCTATTATTAACTATGATTTATGTTTATTATAGTCCTGGTTTGAAGCTTGCTTTCCTGTACCTTCCTTTTCTTTGTATAGATCATGAGTCCAGTAATGTGTTCAAGGAAACTACAGAAATTATGGACAATGAAGGAGTGAATCAAATCTATAAAGATTTACCTGCTGAAGGGACAGCTGTACAGAAATCTTTGGAAATGGTACCGTCACCTCAGAAAGGAATTGTCAGAAAAGAAGTTCCATGTATGTATGAAATATTATTACATAAATTACAGTTTTAGCAGTTTCTCCTGTTTTGGCTGAATTAGTCAGATGTGTGCACTTGACCTGAATTTTATATTTAGCTGTTATTGGCTGTGCTTAATACCTAGTGCTTATTTTACTTTTGCCTTGTTTATAGGTGAACAAAATTATGGTATGAGGTGTGAAGAATCACCAATTGCACGTATGCAGCATGAGAATAAATTACTGATGGCACGTTACTCATCGAGGCTTCAGGCTGCCTCAACAGCCATACAGCGTCAGAATTTACAGTTAGAACTTGAGCGTCGCCTCACAGAAAATGCTGCTATTGCTCGACAGCGACAGGAAGTGTGGGAACAGCGTCGAAGTGAAGTTGCTGCTCGTTGTCTTAAAATTGCAGAGATGTAAGCTCTTCTGTTCATTTTTACACAACTAATATAATCCTCATGGAATACGATGTTTAGGCTGTTCTGTGTTCTCTACCAATTCTTAAAGAGGTTCAGCTAACCCTGCAGGCTATCAATTTTTTTCAGAGGCAAGTTTTTGAAACCAATTTTTTTTAATACCTTGAAATATTCATATTTTAGTGATTATTTGTGTTACCTAAATGGCTGTGTGTGTAGTATATTGTGGGTCATCTACAACCTCTGATATAAGCTTAATGAGAAACTGCAAAGTCCTCTGTCACAAACGAAGTTTCCAACCATGTTTTAAGTTTGCTTTTAAATGTGTTAAAATACTGTTGTAACTGTAATGACATTTCTGTATCATTTCAGTTGAAGACTTTGATCTCTCCCGTTCAATAGATACAGAATGATTCTTGGGACACAGAAATTTCCAGTCTTGTTAATAGCATGGTTATGTACATAATGAGATAGTTTTCAACTTCTTGGTTCAGATATTATAATTGAATTATTTTTCATTATTTTCATATCTCCATGATAAACACGTCACCAAAGAATAGATATTTACATAACTGCTTTAATGTTTTTATAACTTGGTGCTGTATTGTGATGTACATAATTAAACTTATTTACTGAGGTTATTTAGAAGTTGATCAATGAAATATTATTTCTTTACTGCAGAAAATTTAAAATCAATGAAAAAATTAAGAGTGGAACAATCACTGAAATGGACTTCAAAAAGCATAGAGTGTATGCTGCAGCATTGCAGTATGAGGAAGAAAATTTTTGGCTGAAGAAATCTAAACAGGATATACTGTTTCATCCACAAGATGAGAAACTGCAGAGGTAATCTCCAAATTATTCTTTTGTTCTGTAGCAATTCGTTTTTATTTCCCTTAACAAGGCATCTGATTTGTATTTGCAAGGTCACAAGTTTGAATTTGAACTGATGCTACCTTTCTCAATTCCCGCTTGCAAGTGCCTCCCTTTTCCATCTCATTTGACAATAAATAATTTCTGCAATTGCTATATATAATGTTAGTAATGGTTTGTGGCTATCTTCAAGGAGCACACTGCATGGCCTTGGAATACATAGTGAAAAGCCAAGGTCATTGAATCAAATTCAAGGGCTTGACCTTTCAGTCTGTCCATGAATCAGTTGTTATTTATTCATGAGGGTTAAATAGCAAACATATCAGTCAGTCTTAAATTATTAAAGTAAAACTTATATTCTGTTCATTACATTCATTTGTATGAAGTTGTTACTAATGTCATCAAAATGAGTGAATTGTGGAGGAAAGAAAAACAAGAGAAATTCTGTCTTTATCATACATTGTCACTGGAGCATCATGTATTTATTTGTAGTTTCATTTAGTAACATTCTGATAACTCAGATTGTATACTTACACACATTTGTACTTATTACAGTGCATGTATCCATAAGTTAGCCAGATGACAGGATGTGGAATAAGTCGTAATAATACTGTGTATGTATATATACACACATATATACACCTACATACATACACAATTCAAACTGTTATAAAGATTTCACATCCACCCATTACAACAGTAGATAAATTACACTACCCATTTATAATATATAAAAACATAATTTGTAAAAATTAGAAATTTGTTAACAGAGGAAAAGGAGTGTATAAGTAAGTATCAATTTATGCTACTCTAGTGTATGCCTTTTTATTTATAAGACTAGATGGCAGACTGCAGAAAATTGTGATGCCTGCGTAATATGGACTCTTCTCAAAACATGAGAGATTGGTATTTGGTCTGTGAAGCTGGTTCTTATTCCGAGTGCAGCAGAATTAGATTGAAAATGTTCTTGGTTATTTACATTGAAGTTCATTAAAGAGAATACATGTTCACGTGGAAGAGCTAAGACCTCTCTCTCTTATACTTCTACATGAATTTATAGGTATGACACCGCCATTGATATAACAGTTTTCTTTTGTAAAGTGAATATTTTTTGCAAGGTGATTAATGATTGATGAATTGACAAGAATGTGAAGGGAAGCTGCCTAATAAGGTACTATTCAGGAATCTACCTGGAGTGACTGAGGAAAACCATGACAAACCTCAGATTAGCCTGCCTCTGGGGCAAGATTTTGAACCTAGGACCTCCTGATACAAAGTAAGGGTGTTAACCACTCATCCATGATGTTCATATTGAGCATTATGGTAGGAATGGATGAAAAGCATAATCTTGAAATAAAATCATGAAAATCTGAAGTTTGATAGAAGAAAGGGATCTTTTCTTTTTTTGACTGAAAACTGATCTTGACGGGTAATTTTCTTTTAACATACAGTGTACACATATTTATTCCAGAGTAAATTGTGAAAGTTGTATATAGTTAATAAATGAGACAAATTTTGAGTTTGAAGGGATGCATCCTGTTGTGTGTTGATAATTAAGTTGACATTCCAACGAACAACAATTTTTGTTGTTTTAATGTTTGTTAATATCCACTACATATTTCGATCTTAATTGGTCATCTTAAGTGGTCAAAAATAATAGATATGAATGTAAAATTGTATATGTATTTGAAACAGGTAACATTTGAATGGTTTTGTGCAATTGCTTTACACTTATTTGTAATAGGTATGCACCTAGAAGCATAGGAAGTTTGACTTCAGAGTAGAAAATTTTTTCCTTGGGTTTAAAAGTGTATGCTAAAATCCACTACAGCATTCTACCAGTAACTACATCTACATAGTCCACTCTATTTAAATAGATAAATCTTACAACTGATAAGTTACATTGTCTGACACACCATTATACTTAACCAAAATATCCTACTGGCACAAGAAGTATATTTTAGCTGTCCTTATAATTTCATGCACCTCCAATGAAATAGTCAACCTGGGATCCCTTCAACATGATAATCTTTTGCTGATTGACTACACAACAGCAACAACAAATATCAGTAAAGGTACCATAAGAAAGCTTTGTTCTACCTCCAATAGTAATAACCGGAAGGACTGTTAACTCAAAGACAGCTTGCACATTCTGATATTTTAATCAACATCTTATGAAGTAGCCATACAACTTATAATCTTCTCCCTTCCATTTTAGCATATACTTTTCAACCTATAAAAAAAGTGTTTCCACTTTTGATCTTGCTTGATGACGATTTGGTTTCATAACAGAACTTCTCAACAACCTCAATAAGTATCAACTGTTTGAGGAAGACCTTGTACCATTGAGTTGGTTAGTTACACAAACACGTAATTTGTGGGTAAGTACAGGTTTTCTTTTTAATTTTAGGGACATCATTAGTCAAATTCTTTTTGACCGTGTTCATCCGATTGGTTGTCTTCTCTGCCAAATGCAGTATGCTGTCTTAGATAAAGTAAATCCAATAATTACAAAACACCAGACATTATTAGTTCAAAAACACAATAATACAAGGTGCAGTAATGGGAACTGCATTGACACAAGGCATCAGATATTGTCTGGCATTGACCATGGTTTGTGTAATCTCTCAATGAATGGCTCTGATGACCATGAGGCTGCAAGGAAACATGATGCGAGTGAAGAGACGATAGTTCAAGAGGAGTGGCAGGCATTCTACAGACACTTCCAGAACATTGCTATTGGTAGGTAAAAGCATTTGGCTTTATTGTTTCATGTAGGGTAAGGTGTTGTAATTTCGATAATTTTAACTTTTTGGTCCTCAGAGCATAAAATTCAGCTCTTTTTAAAACAAATACTGTGTATTTAATTTAAGAAATACTACATACGTAATAGAAGATAAAATACTTCCTTGTCTAATACCTCTACATGTTGGGAACTTTCAGATTATTTGCAATTGTTGACCACACTATTTTCACATTTGGTGTACTGCTTTACTGAGCACAGGGGCAACTTTACCTTTTTCCTTTTGTAATCCAACTTTATATGATCCTTACATTGAAATTTATCATTTCTCTTGGAAATAGTTCATTGTACAGGAATTTGGTACATGACATAAAATGTAAGCCTACAAAGGATTAATGAGAGATTTCTTACTTTAATATGATGACATAGAAAGGCAAATAATATATCAACAAGGGACATATTGCTCTAATTTAGCAGTTTTTAGTGGCTTCTGACACAAGAGTATATCACAAAAGGAATGATTTGTGATTGCTTGAATTGAAGAAGATTAATCCATTACTTAGTCATAATAAGCGTAAAAGGAGCATTCTCATGACCATTCTTGATCTGGTTGTGTTTAGACTTGTCTTATCATTTAAGTATACTGGATAAGGTAGTGTGTGTTTCAAACAAAGTAAAGGACAAAGTAATGTATATTTTTATTTTTAGTTATTTTTGTCAACAAAAGGCTTGTATCAGCAACAAATGAGGATTTATATCTGCCATAACTGATGAAAATTTAGTTATGTAAAATTGTGAACATTACATTTGAAAATGCTGTATATTTAAAAATGATTACAAGTGTATGATTCCACGTTTGTTATTTTTAGGATTTTTTTGTTTATTCTTTCAGACATAAGACACGATATTAAGCTTCTTGAGACCTTGCTGATTAGTCTGATTGAGCCACTTAACACAGAGAAAGGCCGAGTAATTGTCACGGAAATGTTGCACCAGGTCTATTTTGCTCCCATCAAATCATACTTAATTGTCCTTCTCAGGTCAGTATTAGATCTACAAAAGTGATACAATTTTCTCTGAAAGTTCATTACTGAGTAAGACTTTTGAGTAAAGTAATTAATCTATAACAGGATAGAACATTTATGTAAGATCAGGATGATGTAGTCAGTACCAGAATAAACACATGTATTCTTTGCAAATTCTGATTTATAAAATATGTCAATTACTTTACTCAGACAACTTTAGTTATCAACTGCAAAATCACATGGTCTTAATGTCTTCTTTAAATAATGCAAATAAATACTGGGAGCATAAGTGACTCATATGCATGAAATGTTCACTGCATTGAAAGGCAATAAGATCTTTTGTGTATTGTGCCATGTAGTCTACTGGTTGTATGCCATCATTTTGGAGGAACATGCTGCCTCCATCATCAGTGCTGAAGTGAGAATTGGATAGTTGATTGGTCATGTAAGGCTAGGTGAAGGATCAGAGCCATGGCTCTGATTGGGTAAGCTTCCTGTCATAATCCTCTACCTAGCTAATTATAACCCAGCAACTTCCCAACAATCATCACTGAACCCTCAAGATGGTGGTGGCATGTCCCTCTGAAATGTTGGTATATAACCAGAAGATTACACATTGTAACAACCCAGAAAAACACTATCTAAACTTGCATTGCTATGATAATATCAAATCGTACAGCATTTATTGGATTTTTATGTGTTTGTTTGTTGGTTGGTTGTTTTTTTTTATGCTTCAGTGTAAGCAAAAGACACATAATAGACTAATCATGTCTGCCTGTCTAGCATCTTTCATGTAGCCCCCCAGTGATGCCACCCCTTGGGAACTAGACCGCTCTGAGGGTTTCCCAAAGGGGTAAATCAAACTCAGAGGCTTATACTCCCAGGGTTCGTGCACCTTCTCCTTGGGCTTTCTCCCCCAGCAGACCTTCGTCCCTTTAGGCTTAACCCCCTCACAAGTCTTGCTCCCTGTATATTGGCCCAACTACTGTCCTTTCCTTCTTCCTGTGTTTAACCCCACTAGCTTTCTCTTTACACTTCTGAAGGCTTGGCGACCCAGAATTGCATATCTCCAGGATTGCCATCCCTGGGACTGCCCTCAGGCACTAGATAACCTCCTGGGCTTGCACCTATTGACGTTTCTTCCCACTAAAGCTTGCCATCCCTGGGACTTTAACAACAAGACATTTCCCTACTACCCAGCATTTAGTGCTTAGCACTTTCTGCTGCTTGATTCCATGATTTTGGCCCAACTCAGGCTTGCCCTAAAATGTAATTTGCTGCTGTCTGTGTGTGGCATAAAGAACACCTTTGGAACTTTTGTATATTTTAAAGAGTACATGTTTCTAGTCTTGTTATTGTAATAAATACATTTTTAAATTTATAGCTTTTGAATTTAATTTCATGTAACACATTAAATGTCAATTATAGTGACAGTTTGTTTTTCTTTCCTGTGTCTCTGTAACTTATTTATTTTCATTCTCTCTTCTTTTTCCCCTCTTTCATTCTTTCTTCCATCCTTCTTTAATGTGTTTCTTCTTTTTTCTTCCTCTCTTTAATTGTGTTTTCCTGAATTGTTTCCAATTTCATATTTCCCATATTCTTGTCTGTAGGCTTATTACACATGAAGATGAACTTGAATTTGAGGCCGCAATGTTGACAAAAGATGATAGTACTGAGATGGGATCAGTTGAGGAGGACATCAGCAGACAAGTGTGTGGCATGTTACAACATTTGATATCGCTACACAGCCCATGCCAGATGCTTGATATCCTGGTCACAGTACTTAAATTGCTGGCTTCAACATCTGATGAGAACAACTACTGCAAGTCATTGTGAGTAGCAATTTGTAATCTGTGTCATTACTTTTATGTATGGGACCACTCACTTATTTCAGTATGACTTTATGGAGAGATATTTTGGTTCATTTACTGAACTGAAATACTCATGTGCTTATATCATTGGACTTTCAGCCTTTCATTGTTAGTCTCTGGTTAATGCTGGGCGGTTTTTTGTTTCACTGTGTTAAGATAAAAAGGCTATTGCACTGCTACATATTCTTCAGGTATGCAGCACTAATATTTTCCACTACTGCTGGCAACTGTACCAACAGCAGGTAATTGTATGTGACAGTCCAAAGTGTTTGTAACTCTTATGAAGAACACTGACATATTGATAACTAGGGGTGAAGAAATGTTGCCTCATTTGCTAGTTAAAGAATTCAGTGTCTGGACATTTAATTAGAAAGTACTTCTGTGTTTCATACATACAACATCTAATATGTATTTGCTATTTAGTCACAATTTTTCATTCATACTAGGCAGCCAAACATTTTCGTTGAGTTCTGTAGAATGTAATTATAAACTTAAACCCTGTGGTTTTGGAGTGAAGTGTTGGACTTGCATACAAGAAATGTCTTTTCTAAGATCAGCTTGTTCCATTATTGAGTTCTGTACACACCTTCCCCAGCTCTCACCTCATAGTCAGAAACTGAGAATGATGGGACTACCAGGTACACACTGTGGTTCAGAAGCCACTTCAAGCTGTATATCCTGACAACTGTAAATCTTCATTGTTAAACTGTGATTTTGAGGAAACAGAATTATACCCCATTGGCATTTCCACTGTAAAAATTAAATCTGTTATCCTTGCCAGGCAGGAAGAGACCAGGAATATTGATTGATCTTAAATTAAAGCATTAAAGCAAGACGTTCATGAGAAGTAACAAGATTTTTCTTGTGTAGGGGTGCAGATGATCTTCTTCCAAGGCTGACATCTGTCGTTATTTCATGTGGACTTCCAAGCTTGTTGGCTGAGGTCATGTACATGGAGAACTTCATGCCAACTGACAGAGCACTTGGAGAGGGTGGTTATTCTTTAACAGTTCTTCAGAGTGTCATGTCATCCCTCTTACCACATTCAAATTGAAATGTTTTAAATTTGTACATTATCTTTTGTAGAGGTGCATCTTGGGACATTCCCAGATTAATGTTTGCTTCCTGACAAATGGATTAGCAACAGGCCTGTAGGTGTGTCAGATTTGTTATCACTTGACATGTAGTACATATTTTTAATATTTCTTCTGACAAGGGCTTGTCTTAAAGCCTAATCTTTATAAAGAGGGTTTCATGATGTTCAGGAAGAAATTTAATTAAAATGAATACGCGTTGCAGGCAATTAAATATCTGAAAACTCAAACATTATCCACACAATGAAACAGCATTTAATTAAGTCTGTTTCATATTGCCATTCGTATCACAATAATGTGAATCAAACTTGTAATTTAATGCAATGAAATTATATACAGAGTGCTTCAAAAAATGTTAACACATATGTGCTTTCCTAAATTTAAATTATTTACAGTACAAAATGTAAGTGGAAAGCCTCAATGAGTTTCAGCTTGTGCTTCACCAATGTTCACACATGTCTGGAAACCTTCCAAAGCTTGTTCTAGAGCCCTGAAGCACATTTGTGGAGGTATCGAGGCTATGGCAGCTTTTATCTTTGCTCAACATTCATGCACATCTTTTGGTTTGCTGACATACATACACTTTTACCATGCCACACAGTTGAATGTGGAAGACCTTGTTTGTCACTGAATTATCTGTAGGTTTTTTCAAGGGCTTTGCAAAAATACTTGTGTTAAAGCTGTGTTGGTAATATGTATGTCCTTGGATGACCACTGTTGCCTTTGTAATTGTCTATGGATCTAGTTTTTACATACTTATTATACATGTGCATTTGCATGTATGCTAATGTTTTCTGTATTGGTCTTAGTTTCTGAAGCTGAACTGTCATGACCTGTGGGTGGGAAAGGTGGTTACTGCTCCTTCGTTCTTGAGGAAGGACAAGTAGAGACTAAGATTGCTACCGTTATACTCCATAAACTCCTTTGAGCTGTTTGAATATTTTACATCAAAACTTTAACCATTACAACTAAATCCACTTCTTGGTTGTGCTATTTCCAACATAACTATAGTGATTATATTACCATGACCAGACTTTTTTTTAATGTGGATGTGGTAGCATTTCCTCCAGCACTGCTTTCATTGATGTAGTACTATAATTTGGTTTCCAGACCATCATATATGTTTTCGCAAACAGTTTTGAACATATTTTGTATTCAAAATTCCTTTTATTTCAAAAGTTTGTTACAACAATAACTTTTTATTTTCTGCTTTACTTTTATTTGACAAGTCTACAACTGGACTCTCAGATTCTTAACAAGATTGCTACTTTCAGAAGGGAACTTTGCATTATTTGTGCATGTACTGATCTCTTGTAGTTTAAATTATTACAATAACAATGAAATGTTGAAGCACTTTCCATGTGGAGTAACAGGGGGCAAATTACTTAAAATCCCAATGTTTTTCATAATAAAGATCACATATCAATGTCCTCAAAGTGGTATACTTTTAAAGTTCCTATAAAAGAGCTTTTTACAACAGGATGACCAGTGAGCATAATATAAATATGCCCAAAGGCTCAAAACAATTAAAAATAGGTAAGAAATGTAGAGAAGAAGGCAAGCAAAAAATTAATGAAGTGTTGACAGCTTTCAGTTTAAGGTTAAAACTTTCCATACCGTGTGGTGTATTAGAATATAAAATAAGCAAACAAACTATTATCATTATATTTCAGTTTAAGGCTTTATCTACTCAAGATGGTTTATGAAGTTTGCTTGTACCTATGTCTGAAACTCAAAAATACCAATGACATAACTAAATAGATGTCAATTCTCAATAATTGGTAAAATTATAAATCATATTATTAACTACGGCCTTATATTCACCAAAGGGCCAAAATAAAAATGTTAATGTACCACTGTTTGAACTTCAAAGCCCAGTGGTAACTATATATACTACCTACTCTTCTTTTTGCGTTATGCATTCTCTATGATTCCACTCTGAGCAGTGATTATTTCTTTGAACAGCATTAACAAATTGGCCTTTTATTATTATTCTTAGGACAGACTTTGGCTTCAACGTGACAGACAGGTTTATATCCGCACCCCAATACACAAAAAATTATAAATTAATAACACTAGCTACATAAATGGCTTTAGGATCCTAAAGGTTCGTCACTGAATTAACAAAAGCCATGTTCTGGTCTAAATATAAATAAATGACCATAAAAATAAAAAATTTCCCTCTTCACCAGCATACTTCACATAAATTGTGACTGAATTTATACATATTTCTTATATTTAGGAAGACATCAAACACCGAATCTGAAAGGTGTGGTTAGTATCTAATCCGTAGATAATCACGCATTCTGCTAACAATCTTTGCCAAATGCTCAAAGGAATAGTAACTATTTCAAACGATTTATCGATAAAGATATGTGTGAAGTTGAATATGTCGCTGTTGGTTCGTGCTTGTTTTGGTATTCACATTTATTATTACAATTGCAACTATGTAACAGCAAAGTTATATAAACGTACAAGTTACTTACTTCCAGCGCTACGGAAATCGACTGTTGGAAATAAAAATGGTAACAAACGAGTTATTTTTAATTAAGTTACCGACGTGCTTTAATTGCTCGCAGCATGATATATCGTATGTCTATTCGGTTGACAGTGCTACAGAATTCATGTATCTTCACATAAATGTCTTCAAAATAACAAGCAAATATCAACATCCTGCTATTACCATTCATGAATAAGATAAGTAAAATACGTTCAGTTCTTTATGTGTATAGCCCAAAATTTATAGTACATTTAGGTGAACATATATAAGACTTTAAGCTGTTATGGTAACTAAACTAGTGACAAAATCTTCTCGGGCGATCAGCCACCTTAAATTAAAACAGAAGACTTAGGTTTTGGAGATTGTCTCTGTCTGTTAATGGATGTAATTAGTAACCATTGTTGGTTGGTATATATATATTTACTGGTCCTTCAAGGCCTTATCTTCATGGTCAGCCATTGGCCTACGTATGTAATATTGCTGACAATTACAGTTTGCTGTTTGGTTCAGTTGGAAAGTATAGAAATAATCTGCTTAATTGTTTGCATGTTGCTTAACCTCTCTTGTGAAGATGATCAGGCTTTTTGTACCAAGGTGACTTATCCAGCACTGTCCTATCTGAATGTTACATAATGTGGTTAAGGCCATAATGCACATAGGCCATTAGTAAAAGAGGCCATCGAGGTCTGACTATATGCCAGAAATATCAATAGAGTTACTGCTAAGCTGGACCTATACCTCATCACCTACATACTCTAGGAAGCCACATGGTGTCCAGAGAAAAAGGTGGATAACTCTGTAACAAATCAGAAATATTCCATCTCTGTAAATAGAAGGAATGAAGCACAAATTGTTTGATGTTTTCTCTTACACAGCTCCAAAATCATCGAGCCATGAAGGCCAGGCAGCTACACAAAACATGTCCTTTGAGAATATGGTTGAGAGCCGACGGGAGGAAGCATGCAGAAGCATTCTTGTTCAGGTTCATTCAGAGCAGTCCTGTTTTCATCTTCACAAATACTGTTGTCAATATGGAGAGGTGAAAGGAATGCATCACTATAGTCTTCCAGGCTCATCAGTATGTGCTAGTTGCAAGTTAAAGTGTTTTATTTACCAATTTTGTTATTCACATTTTATTATTACAAAAATTTAAAAAGAAACATGTGTTGACTTAAGTTTGCATTAGTAAGCAGATACTCCACTGTTTTTATGTTACCATTACATTTCACACATACATTGAAATTTTTAGTGTGAAAATACAATATCTAAGTGTGTTACACATATTTCAATAATGTACATCCATAATTTTATACTTATCAAGAATGATGATACAAGAATATTTATGTGGTATTCCAGGTAAGATGAGAGGCAATGTAAACAAAGTCTTGTAAAGGGAAATTGCTGCTTTCTAACTTTGTCCAGTTTTCCTGTTTTGTTTGTTTTGTTTTGTTTTTAAAGAATGAAATAGCAGTTCTTTTGTAGATCATAATCTGGAGAATCATATTGGTTAGTATTTATTTCACAAATAATGTGAAATATTACAGTTATAGATGCAAGTCACAATTATTAAGTAATAATTTGTTTGTGAGTGTTGAGAACAATTCCCTATATTCTTATAGAGTGTAGTAAGCAAACAGCATATCTGTCATAGAGATAGTATTATAAAGTGAAGTTTGTCACACTACGTGCCGTACAGGCGCTTGGGGTGAGTGGAGGTATAGCTCCTCTCTTTCTTGACCTCAGCACTAGATGGGGGTGAGTGGTCAGCATCACGCCCCGGCCGGCTTTACCCCCGGGAAAGGACCCCAGTACCCATTGTAGAGGAGGCTGGGTGGGCCCCAGAGCTGGTCTGGACGCAGAGGCTAAAGGAAAAATCCTCTGCCCCTAAAGAGATAGTATTGTAGTGATAGCAATACATGTGTACATGACAGACAATAACATTTCTACACATGTTTCAAAAGAAGTGGGTGGAGAGGAGAATGTGTTTGACTATCATCTTAGCTGCCATAAGTTATAGACTGTATAGAGAAAATAATTGCCCTACTTCTGTTTAATAATGTGTCAGATTGTATAAATGATTGTACTGAAAGTGTACAGTTGGCATCATGTAAGTTCTGATCTTCTGCTGTCTTTATTTTAGAATTAATTCAGAAACATGTCATGTGCATATTCAGTGAGACTTTTTTGTACTATGTTGCAGCATTTTGTCCTGGTCGAATTCACACACAAAGCCAATGTGGATCACATTCTAAAATGCAGCAGTCACGTAAATAGAAAGGAAGTGATCCCCGTGAGGTCCCCATTCTTGTGGTTCCGTGCTCCAAACAAGCCTTTGCAGCCTAATCACACTTCATCAGAACCACCCACTCCAGTAGAAATTAATGGAAATAATATACCCGCTCCAGCAGAACTCAGGAACTGGATTCAGGCGGCAGAATCAGTAAGCCCTGAGTCTCATTTCAACTGAATTTTATTCAGAGCACATTGGCAAGAATGATCTTATTTTGTTACAGGGTAGTTTCAGGAAGGAATGAGGAAAATATCACCGAGCATCATTTGCTTAATGGAGTCTTTTTACAGACATCTGGAAAATTGTGATATGTATACCTTAATTTTGTTGTGTATTTATTATTCTAATTTTTAATTTTGTAAGGTCTCGGGTGTAATCAATGTTGTTGGTGTGTGTGTTTATTGAGATTTTCTGTGATTTGACTTTGTTCATCTGGTCATAGTCCATATACATGTACCAAAATAGTCTTGACTTCTCTTTTTCTGAATCTGTTTCAGTCTGTGAACTGATGGAAACACAGTATGGCACTTCTTTTCAGTTTTCAGATCAGATATTGGTTCTTCACCGAGCTACTTCACTGAATGACCTGGGTTCAAGGCTTCGTTTCCTGACAGCACGGCAGATTGAACTCGCTCTCAGTGGACTGTTTCCACAAATAACAGTTATGCCATTTGGATCTTCCGTGAATGGGTTTGGCAAGGCAGCCTGTGACTTGGATCTTGTTCTCTTGGCAGACAAGGAGGAGACCAATGTAAGATATTAATTGGAATTTTATTCTATTGACATGGTGCAACTTTCTCTTCCATCAACTGTACAGGATGAATTCTTCCTGTTATGATTGTGGGATGAGTTGTGATTATTACAGCAGAATTATTTCTCTAGGTCAAGAAATTGTGTGCCATGACTAGGAATCGGTCAATAGAGTGTAGTCTCTGGGGTTCATATGAATGACTAGGAATCGGTCAATAGAGTGTAATCTCTGAGGTTCATATGTTCAACTTGGTGGGTGGATTCAGGTTTTAGTGATGAGTTGGGTATATAGTGTGGTGAATGAACTGAGAATATATCATGAATTAAATGTTATACATTTAACTTATTGTTATTAATACCGTAATTATACACCCATGACCTACCTGGCTGATTTAGATTTAAGGATTTATTAGGGATTTCATAGAGATATTTCACATGAATAAATAACGAAACTGAATTCTGTTGCCCCTACCAGAACAAATTTAATCTCGTGCTCAGAGCAGTGCTGTTACATTCATGGAGTAAATGAATGGCCATGACAGGGCTGTCACATTTCATTCGCTCCACTACATCATTTGCAGTTCTGGACATAATCACCAATTTCTTATGCTGTTGCCATAAGTGTGCATCAGATTCTCAGCCATTTTGTAGTGATATGGAAATGAAGAATGTTATATATATTCTGTGAAACTTTCATTGCAAGTATGACCAGAACATAGCAACAGTTCTCTTCAATGAAGTCATCTACATCATCATTTTTTAAAGTTTTTTCTACATTTGTTATTACCACAACCTTTCTTCTTGTGTTCTTTAGTAGTCTGTTGTTACTGATTTCTTTTTGTATCTTACTTCAGTTGGTCATACACCCTTATTCTTGGTGTTTCATAATTTTCTACTTGCATAATGTATCTAATTCTACTTAATCTCCTCTAAATACCTCCTCCAGTTCCATTCTTTTTCTTCAGAAAACATATTTTACCAGTCTCCATTCTGGAACTTGGAAAGTGCTCTGTTTGGCCTAAAACGTAAAGTTTCGACAAACCAGTTGTCCATTAAAGACTTTTTTGGTAAAAAGAAGTAACTTTGAAAGAGAAACATTGTTTTGTTTTTTTTAAATTTTTAATGCTTTCCCGCATCTATCGTTTTCTCGCATTCATCGTTTTTATTTCCCACCCCCGCCGAAAACGATGCATCAAGGTTTCACTGTACTTCTCTTATGTATGTTGCTATTAACAAAGTTAATGTTATTTACTTATCACTTAATACATACAAGATTTATATAAAATGTCTTTTTCCATGCATCTGTTGTTTTGTTTGTATACAATCAAACTTTCAGAATAATCTTTATAATTCTCATTAAATTGATTTAAATTATGAGCAAATGAAAGCATTCATAGAGGCACAAATAGAGGTTATTTTGTAAAATGTGTGGTTATTCTAGGATGAGGACAATAGTGATTGCCGAATAGTATTCCATGCCAAGACCTTGCTAACAAATGGGCGCACACAGGTTCAGCGCCACATGGAGACACTTGGAGATATGGTTCAGATGCTTCTACCGGGATGTTCTCATGTGCGGCGCATTCTTCAGGCCCGAGTGCCAATTATCAAATACCACCAGGACCTGACAGGCGTGGAGTGTGACTTGTCAATGACTAACATGTATGTACCTCCACTCAATAATTTTAATGTATGTAGAATAAAGTCAATGCATTGCAGTGCAATGGGGTTACTTAAAAATTTCTTATTACATATGTTTTTCAATCTTTGTCAACCATGTATCATGGGTTACACACTGTCCAGGTAAGCATGTGTTGTAGCAGCATACTGCTAAACCACTAGTTATTCCAATAGCGCTGCAGTTTTGGGGTTTAAATCTCTGTTGCAAATTATAAAGGTTCTTAGAGAACACTGCCTGTTTCTGTGTTGTATGTGCCGCTGTGGACTTCGTAAAGTGTGCGTGATATTGTTTAATGATTTTTGTTTTTACAAATTTCATTATTGTGATTATATTTTTTAATGGTAGAGTGGATTTTTGTTGTGTTAAACTAATATTTTGGTTGCAGTAGTATTCATTAGAGTGAAAAAAATTTCATTTTAATGAATATTTCATTACTCCAGATTTCATTGAAATGAAATTTTGCTGTATATGATACCCCAAAACAAAAGAAAGTTACAGAAAAGAATGAAAAGTTCTGTTGTGTTAGGTCTGCTCTCTATATGAGTGAACTGCTGTACATTCTGGGAGCATCAGATTGGCGTGTGAGGCCACTCGTGTTTGCTGTGCGAAGCTGGGCGCGTGAGATTGGACTCACTAATCCCACACCTGGACGGTGGATCACCAACTTCTCCCTCACGTTGCTCGTTCTGTTCTACTTGCAGCAACACAGCAAACATAAGGGTCCAGTGTTACCAACCCTGAATACCATGATCTCTCTTGCAGGTTAGTGATTTACAAATTCCTAAGTATATTATGTATGTTTTACACTTCATGTGAATTCAAGCAATGGCCAGTTAATGAAATTGAGATGTTATATACGTCTTTACAGGATCTGGTGATCATCGTATCACTTCGGAAGGTGTGAATTGTACATTCATTCGAGATGTGTCTCAGCTTTGTCACCACATGGCTTCATCAAGCAAGAAGCTCCCAAATACGGACAACCTTGAAACTCTCTTCATAGGCTTCTTTGAGTTCTATTCCTCTTTTGACTTCACTACCCATGCTATTTCTCTGACAAATGGTACATCAGTAACTAAACCAGACCACTCTCCAATGTACATAGCTAATCCTCTTGAACGAGGCCTTAATGTCAGCAAGAATGTAAGCCATGATGAAACTGAACGGCTAAGGATAGAGTTCCGCAACACTGCATGGATGTTGGAATCAGTGTCTCTGACACCACATGAGACTTCCTTGACAGTATCTCAGAAGAAAGCAGATGAAGCGTGGGGACTGACAGCTCTCTTTGAAGCGCCACAGAGTGCTGCAAAGGGCCGCAACATCTTTTATCTTCCCACGCAGAGGGTGCCACCCCCCAGAATTATGGACGTGTCTAATCTTTTTCAGCAAGACACAGATGAGGTTGGTGACAGTTTTGTCCGTGACAGTGCAGTCCCAGTTAACACACTCAGTTCAAATAAACAACAAAGTGAAGTGCAAGGCAGGTTAAAACCTTCTAAGGTTGCAAAAGTTTCTAGACGAGTACATCGGAGATAGATATATTCAGATTGTTTAAACTTAATTTGTGAT